CCAGGGAATAAAGTCCTTTCCTGTCCAACCTCTTCCTATAACTCAGTCCTACTAATCCTGGCAACATCCTCATAAATATTCTTTGCACAGTTTCCAGTTTAACTATGTCATTCCTATAACAGAGTGACCAAAATTGTACACAATACTCCAAGTGTAGCCTCACCAATGACTTAGACAACTGTAACATAACGTCCCAACTCCTATACTCAATGCCTTAACCGATGAAGGCCAGCATGCTAAATGCCTTCTTCACCACCTTGTCCACCTATGACGCAGCTTTCAATGAGCTATCTGCTTGTACTCCTAGGTCCCTCTGTTCCACAACATTCCTCAGGACCTTACCACTTACTGTATAAGTCCTACCTTGGTTTGACTTTCCAAAATGCAACATATCACACTTATCTGCATTGAATTGCATTTGCCAATCCTCAGCCCACTTCCCCATCTAATCAAGATCCCTCTTTTTTGATAACTTTCTTCACTATCAACAATACCTCCTAATTTTGTATCATCCGCAAACCTACTAATTATGCCTTGTACGTTCACATCCAGATAATTTATGTAAGTAAGAAAAAACAAGGCTCTCAGCACTGATCACTGTGGCACACCACTAAGCACAGGTCTCCAGTCCGAGAAACAACCTTCAACTATCACCCTCTGCTTCCTACCATCAAACCAATTTTGAATCCAATTAACTAGCTCTTTCTGGATGCCATGCAACCTAACTTTCATGCCTAATCTGCTGTGTGGGACCTTGTCGAAGGCCTTACTAAAGCCCATATAGACAACATCCACTGCCCTACCGTCATCCATCCTCTTGGTTGCCTCTTCAAAAAACTCTAAAAGATTTTTCAGACATGACTTCCTGCACACAAATCCATGCTGACTATCCCTGATCAGACCTTGACTATCCAAATGTTGGTTGACCCTGTCCCTCAGTATCTTCTCCAATAGCTTCCCTCCCACTGATGTCGGGCTCACTGGCCTGTAGTTCCCTGGCTTGTCTTTGCTACCTTTCTTAAACAAAGGATCACCTTTTGCCAACTTCCAGTCTTCTAGAACTTCACCAGTGGCTAAAGATGAAGCAATTATCTCTGCAATTTCTTCCCTAGCCTCCCACAACACCCGAGGATGGACTTGATCAGGCCCAGGGAATTTATCCACCTCAATGCGCTTTAAGGCTGCAAACCCCTCCTCTCTGGTAATGTGTATGCGGTCCAAAACATCTCCACTTGTTTCCCTTATTTCCTTAGCATCCATGATTTTCTTCTCTGTGGCTCCACACATAGACAGCCTTTACTAATCTTTAATGAGACCTCTTCTCTCCCTAGCCACCCTTTTACTCTTAATATAGCTATAGAACCTTTTGGGATTATCTTTAACCTTATCTGCCAGATCCATCTCATACCCTCTTTTTGCTTTCTGATTTCCCTCTTCAGTGTGCTCCTACACTTTTTATAGTCGTCTAGGGATTCACTTGAGCCCGTTAGCTTAAATCCAATGTATGCCTTCTCCTCACTAAATCAAAACTGTTTCCCCCTACCAATCCACTGGCTCTGCTTCCCTTCAAATGACCCTTTGCTGTCTAAAGTTCGGGCAGCATAAACCCTGGTTTGTGTCAGTTCTATCTGCAGTTTAATCTGTGGAGTCTGAGTTTATTTGGTTAAATCTACGAGGTCACTGTATCCTTTTTAAGGTGTGGTGGCTAGCACATTGGCTACAGTTATGGACTAATCATGGCTTTGTAGAATTAGAATTAGAATATCCTTTAATGTCAGTTCCTGTCTTGAAGTTTAACGTACAGTCTCTTAAGATGGGCTTTTTCAGGGACTTCTGGAGGTCCAGTAAATAACATCCACAGAGACTTGCCTGTACTCTACTCATAGAGTCACAGAGTTGTACAGCGCGGGGAAACAGACCCTTCGGCCCCACTCGTCCATGCCAAACAGACATCCTAAATTAATCCAGTCGCATTTGCCAGCATTTGGCCCATATCCCTCTAACTCCTTCCAGATGTCTTTTAAATGTTGCAAATGTACCCACCTCCACCACTTCCTCTGGCAGCTCGTTCCATATACGTATCACCCTCTGTGTGATAAAGTTGCCCCTTAAGTCTCTTTTAAATCTTTTCCCTCTCACCTTAAACCCATGCCGTCTCGTTTTGGACACCCCCACCCTGGGAAAAAAGACCATGGCTATTCACCCTATCCATGCCCCTCTTTGTCCTTGAAAAAACAAATACTGATTGAGAGCCTGGTTCATCAGACTCTCGTTACAAATTAGCTGAAAATGTTTCAGGTCAGCACCCCTCCACCCTTAATGAAGGAGCCTAATCCTAGTAATCTCCAACATCAGATATTGAGCTAACTGGTCTGTTGAGGCTTTGTTTCCGTTTTCTAAATAGTGGAGCAGCGCACACAGTTTTCCAATCTGAAGGGATGTTTCCTGAATCAAGACAATTTTGGAAGTTTAAGGTTAGGACAGCTGCAATAGCCTCACCTGTTTCCTTTAAAACACAGTGATGGAAACCATCTGGTCTGGGGATTGCTTGCTCTGATGCTAATTTTGATAATCCCCTGACCCTCACTTAGCATTAATTTCCTTGGGATTTCCAGCAACAAAACTCTTCTTAAAGTGATCTGCAAATGAAGCAAGGACGATACAAGAAAAAGCTTTTTCACACAGTGAATAGTTAGGGTATGGAATTCAGTGCCCGGAAATGTGGTGGAAGCAGGTTCAATTGAGGCATCCAAGAGGGCATTATTTGGATCAAAATAATGTGCAGGGATATGGGGAAAAGGCAGGAGATTGGGACTACATAATAGAGCTTGTGCAGGTCTAATGGGCTGAATGGCCTCCTGTGAACTGCAGTAATTCTGTGATTCTCTGCAGTAAATGCTAGCACCAAGTAACTATCCATATCCACCATTTCTTTATTTTCCTCGTCATGATCATTTCAAGTGAGCCACATTGTCCCCCCCCCCCCCCCCACCACCCTCCTTTCTGTTGCCTTGTCCGTGCTGTGTCTTTTCTGATAAGTTAGAACTCTTACCCCTGCGGGTCATAAACTTTCTGTGTTCACATCAATATCGAACCTCCCCTGAAAATCTATTTTTTTTTTGCAGTTAACCAGTTTCCCCACCGTGACAAGTCTCTGCCCCATCCCATTGATGTTGAGCTAGGATGTATCTAGAGTTGGGGTGGAGGAGTGTGGGTAGTCAGACAGGGCTACACTCCATACCAGGAGACTTTGCACCTACAGTCTCTGAAGGATGTGCCAAATGGCCTGTAGTTGGTGTTTCAATGCGGCTCAGTAACTGGCCTCTCCCTGTGTCAGCATTCCTCCACGCATTGCTTCCCCAGTCATCCTGGGACAGTTTTCCAGTCGGTCACTCACTGCCGGTCAGGTGAGGTCTGTGATGCCTTCCGCAGTCCAATAGTCCTGTCCACGCACACCACTCAATGCGCACTCACTTGGCTAAGGGATCAAAATGGGTGGTGGGGGTGGGCAGGAGGGTTGGACTGCGGAAGGCATCACATACCGCACCTGACCGGCATTGAGTAAACGACCGGAGAGCTGGCCCAGGATGACTG